CCCTTCATCTGGGAGCCTTTTTAATGTTTTTTTCATGGCTGAACCCTCTCAAAGGCTGCAGCCAGGATCCAGGTGAGGCTGCAGGGCTGAATTCCATAAGGTGTTACCACGATGGGAGGTTCTCCATCCTGCCCCTCACCATCCTCACACCTTGTGTGCAGCTGCAGTCTTCCTTGGAGCCAGAGAATCACAGAATATCCTGAGCTGGAAGCTAACCAGGTAGCCCACAGTGCTCCTGCCTTTCCAGAAAGAGGCCTTGGTCTAAATTCTGGAAAGGTTTGATGGTTTAAAGCAATCCCCTTTGGAATCCATCCCAGTGGGTTCATTGCTGCTGAGCCCTCATTTCACACTTGGTTGCACACTTGGTTGAAATCCCTCTGGTTTGTTGTCATGAAAATCAGGCAATTACTGTGCTGGCTTTGCCATCTCTACCCAAATTCTGCTTCTGAAAAGAGCTTATTTCCCACTCTGTCCATGGGACAGCACTTCATTTAAAAATCCTGGGAAAGCTCCACAAATCCCTGTTCCATTGGAGCCCTGTCAGGGATGGGGCTGCAGCTCTGGAGCTCCCCATCCCTGGCTGCTGCTGCTGTCCCTGGGATGTTCCAGCTCCCCATCCTGCTGTGCTCCCAGTGGGGAATATCTCATCAATGAGTCTTTGCAGCGTTCTCATGCCTGTAGATCCTTCCAGGGCATTCCAGGTCATCTGGGCTTGTTCTTAAGCATGGAATCATGGAATGGTTTGGGCTGGAAAGGACCTTAAAGCCTGTCCAGTGCCACCCCTGCCATGGCAGGAACACCTTCCACTGTCCCAGGTTGCTCCAAGCCCATCCAACCTGGTATCTCCTGTATTTACACTTATTTAACAATACATTTATTAAACTTCTCAGCCATTACACCGCTTGTCCTCACCAAAACTCCCTCTGATCTCTCTGCTCTCCTTCCCTTCCCCATTTCCCTCCCACCCTGTGTTGGTGCTGTGGATGTTTCTGTGCTCTGTGCAGCTCTGGCAGATGTCTGTGGCCATTTCTGCGCCACTTGCCTTGTGTTTCCCCCGAGGTCCTGGATTAAATGCTCAGTCAAAACTCTCATATTTCATGGGCCAGTGATCTGCTTCCACTCAAAGTCCTCCTGTTTCCCTTTTGCCAGTGTTCCCCCAGTGTCTGCTCAGCTCCTGTGGTGTCTCAGGGGCTGCTCTGGCTCTGGGATGTGTCCCCCACACACAGACCCTGCTGACATGGGGCTCCCACCCCAGCCTTGAGCTCCTCCAGGAGAGTGAGAGGAGCTGGGGGAGGCCCTTTGGGTGCTGGGATGGGCTGGGGAGGGTGGAGGAGAAGTGCCCCAGTCCTGCAGGGTTCACTGAGCTGGGATCAGCAGCTGTGGCTGGTACTGCCGAGCTGTCAGGAGAGGCTGTTTCCACCCAAAAATACTCCCTGTGTTGTATGAAGACATGAGTTTGTAGAAAGCAGCAGCACCTTGGTGTTTATTGTGAACAGAAATTGCTCTGTGGTTCTTCACACGCAGACATTTCCCTGTGGCTCCCTGGCAGGATGGGAGCAGTGCTGGGTGCATCCTGACTTGTCCCAGAATCTCTTTTCCCTGTCCCATTCTGCCACAGCCTCACGGGGGCTGGGTTCCTTCAATCCTGCTGTCACTCCTGATGGAATCACTGCTAATCAGAAGTGGGGGGAATTCCCAGGAGCAGCATCCATCACTTGTCCTGATGGACTTGACTCCATCAGGGCTTGGTGAGGAGTGGAGCTGCCATCAGCCAGGGCTGGACCCACTGGTTCCCACTGGGAATCCCAGAGTGGTTTGGGCTGGAAGGGACCTCAAAGCCCACCCAGTGCCACCCCTGCCATGGCAGGGACACCTCCCACTGTCCCAGGCTGCTCCAAGCCCTGTCCAGCCTGGCCTTGGGCACTGCCAGGGATCCAGGGGCACCACAGCTGCTCTGGGCAGGGACTCCCACCCTCACAAGGAGAAATTCCTTCCCAGTATCCCACCCATCCCTGCCCTCTGGCAGTGGGAAGCCATTCCCTGTGTCCTGTCCCTCCATCCCTTGTCAAAGTCCCCAGGAGGTGGTGGGACAGGTTTATGCCATGAAAACTCCTTTTTCAGCTGAAGTCTGGTTGAAGTGGGACTTGTCTCTGCCTTTGCTGCCATCAGGGTCCTGCTGAGCACCACTGATCTCCAAAGGGTATTTCTGTTGTGTGCTGCCCTTGTCTATGAGAGACTTTGTTGTAACCCAGGATTGTTCTGGTCCATCTCCATCTCACCCTTCTTTGGGATCTGAATTCAGCAGGAGCTCGGGGAAGCAGCGAGGCTGGAAGGTCTCAGCTCGCTTCCCCAGCTGCTGCAGCAGCTGTTCCCTCCCTTGGGGCCCACAAACAAACCTGGGCACCCCAGGGCTGCCAGCAGCTGCCAGCCCTGTGCCCCTGCTGCTCCAGGGATGAGGCTGCCCTGCCTGGTGGGCTGGAAACCAGAGGGGAATGTCCTCCCCTCTCCCTGGCTGGCCTCAGACCAAGCTCTGGAGCAGTGGCCAAGCTGCCAGCAGGTGCTGGTGGCAGGGCTGGTGGCATGGGGTGCCCAGCAGGACACCAAGGAGGGGTTTGTCATCCCTGTGCACTCACAGATCCCTGGGGATCGCTCCAGCCAGGAGCTGCACTGCTCCCCCAGCAAAAGCTGAACCCTCACAGGAGGAAAAGCAGCACATGATGAGGGAAGGAGATTTGGCAAGGTGGGATCTGGGAATGAGAGAGGGGGAGGGAAGCCTTGATTTAATGGAATTGTGACACATGACAAAGATCAGAGCATCTTCTCTGGACATTAGCTTCAGTCAGACCTGTGTTCAGGTGATTCTCCTCATCCCAGCAGGAGCTGAGACCCAGACTGATGCAGCTTCCTGCAGGTCCCACAGCCCATCCAGGGCCTTTGGATTCCCAGGCCCAGGTCCTGCTTGTGGTCAAAATTCAGGTTATTGATGTTCTTCTCCCAGAGCCTCTGCCTGGTCACCTAGAACTTACTGTGGGAGAGGAGAAGTCCTTCACCCCTATCCCTGTTAGGGACACCTGATGCTGTTTCCCAAGGAGCAGGGATCTCTGAGAGGCTTCTCTGGGTCTGCAGCTCATTCCACTAAGACACAGCAAAAATAGCAACCTAAGCTGGGATTGCAGCCTCAGCTCACCCAGGCAGGAGTAAATAACATTAAATACCTGTAATCACATTAAATACACGAGGGCTTTGTGTGCTGGGCCCTGCCAGCCCCTCAAACCCACCAAGAATTGCCATGGAAGTGGTGAAAATCTGTATTTGGGGAAACTGCATAAAAATGCAGCTGAAGGGATGTGACATGACCTGAACTGTTAATGGAAACAGAGTAAAAACTGCACAAAGGACTTGGGCTGTGACAGTGGAAATGCTGGAATGGCTCAGACAAGGCAGGACCTGGGGTCTGGGAGCCAAACACGGGGAATGGGATCCCAGCACATCCCCCGGGGGTGTTTGGAGCATACAGAGAAGCAGCAGAGTCAATATCACAATTCTAAATCATTCAGCATTATACTAAAAATGCTGGAAATATGGGAATTTGAAATGTGGGTGAGGTCACAGGAGAGAATTTCCAAAGGCCAAGTCCCTGGGTAGCTCTTCCCACTGCTGGTGGCCCATGGGGATGGATCTGCTGCAGGATTTTCCTGTGGATCCCTTTCCTGGGCAGTGCTGGGAGAACAGCTGGACTTGAGGATCCCAGAGCATTTTCCAAACCTATATGATTCCATGATTTATGATTTCTCTGCTTATGGCACAAGGATCATTATTTGGGATGTAGAGCAGGGACCTTTATAGCATTTAGCAAAGAGGGACATTCTTGTCAGTCATCCTGGCCCTGCTGTCCTCATGTCCCCACTGGCAGTGACCCCAACAGCCACAGACAAACCAAAGTGGGGGGCAGAAAGTCCTGATTCACTCGTGGGAATCATGTTTAGTGCCAAAACTGGGTTAGGGGGTTCAAAAGCTGCAGGGACAGTTTTATCCCAGCCAGTTTGGTCTGTCTGTCTGAGAGGGAATTGGGCACAGCCACCACCCCACGTGTGGTTCCTTCCACTGTTCCAGGCTGTGTTTCAGTCTCTGAGCTCAGCCCAGGGATGTCCCTGTCCCTGCTGCAGGCCCAGAGCTGGAAGGGGTCACTGTAGGGTCATTCAGGGGGCAGTGGCCGAGCTGGCAGCAGCCCCTGGGCCCTTTGACCTGCTCTGTGCTCTGCCCATGGAGCTGAGTCCTCCCACCGGCACCAATCCCAGTCCCAGAGTGGGAGGCTTCACAAGCTGGGCTCAAAGCTCAGGCCTGGCTTAACACAGAGTTTTGGGATGGCTGTGAGATGTGCCTGACCTGAAAATGCCTGTCCCACCCCATCCCATCCCATCCCATCCCATCCCATCCCACCCCATCCCATCCCATCCCATCCCATCCCATCCCATCCCATTATCCCATCCCATCCCATCCCATTATCCCACCCCACCCCACCCCATCCCATCCCATCCCATCCCATCCCATCCCATCCCATCCCATCCCATCCCATCCCATCCCATCCCATCCCATCCCATCCCATCCCATCCCATCCCATTATCCCATCCCATCCCATCCCATCCCATCCCATCCCATCCCATCCCATCCCATCCCATTATCCCATCCCATCCCATCCCATCCCATCCCATCCCATCCCACCCCACCCCACCCCATCCCACCCCATCCCATCCCATCCCATCCCATCCCATCCCATCCCATCCCATCCCATTATCCCATCCCATCCCATTATCCCATCCCATTATCCCATCCCATTATCCCATCCCATCCCATCCCATCCCATCCCATCCCATCCCATCCCATCCCATCCCATTATCCCACCCCATCCCATCAATCCCATCCCATTATCCCATCCCATTATCCCATTATTATCCCATTATCCCATCCCGCCCCTCCTGAGCCGTGTCCCTTTCCCGCAGGGAGAAGCGCACCCTGCACGTCGCAGTCACCAACCCGGTGCAGTGCAGCCTGCACGGCAGGAAATGCACCGTGTCCGTGGAGACCAAGATCAACCAACCCCAACCGGATTTCACCAAGCACCGCTCCGGCTTCGTCCTCTGCGTGCCGGGCAATTAACGGGCAATTAACGGGCAATTAACGGCCCCTCTCGCCCTCCCCGCCCGGGACTCGGGAGATGCTCAGCAGCGACTCGCCAGGTGCCTAACGCAGCCTCTGAAGGTCATCGTTTGGAAAACCTGAATTCCGGGGGTTTAGAAAAGCCAAATTCGCATGGAATGAAGACCTAAAATACCCGGTGACCTGTTCTCCATATTACAAGCCAGACTGGAATATCAGGAGAGTGCTTCCTTTGGAATTAGTCTGAAAAAAAGAGTTTCTAGGTACTTCCACGCTTTCTTCCCTCTCCCACAATCTCCAGTTTTCCCTTCCATGTTCCTTTCCCTTGTGTCAGTTTTTGCAGTATGATTCAGCCTCCAGGGGAGGAACCAAAGACACCCAGCTCAGGTGTCAGGTTCTGTAGGGCCAAATCCCCACGGAACCGGAGCCAGGCTGGGAAGGGAGGGCTGCCTTCCACACCCCACACTCCCCCAGCCCCTCCAGGCACCTCCAGACCTGCTGCTTTCCCTCGGGAATTTATCAACCCATCGAGGCACCTTGGCTGGACAGGGGACTTCCCAGTGCAGGGCCTGGTTTCGTTAATCCTGCGTTGCTTTTTGCCTTAATTACCCCCTCCAAGGGCCTGAAGCCGGTGGGTTCCCTCTGGGACCATGTGGCCTTGCTGAATTTTTAGATGATCCGTGTGGCTTCGTGTCTGTGCCAGCACTGGGGTTAGGAGGGGCTAAAGGGAGCCAGGGCAGGGTGAGCCCAGGAACAGGGGGAGCTTTGGGGGGCCAAGCTTTGCACTATCCAACATGAACCTGGCACAGCCCCAGCTGCCAGCACCAGGCTCCTCCCTCCAAAGAGTTTTCCTGGCTCTTCCCAGCATGGGGCTGTGGGTGTCGGGCTCGTCCTGCCCAGCCCAGATAACCCCGAGCTCTGCCTTGATGGAGGGACATGGATCTCCTCAGTGGTTTATTCCCACTGTGCTGGGCACTGCTGTGGTTCCCGAGCAGCCCAGGCTGTTGGGATTGTTCATTGGGATTGTCCTGGCACTGCTGGTCAGGTCAGGATTCCCAGCCCTGGAAGTGGGTGAGCTGCGTGGGGACCCCACCTCGGGGTCCAGCCCAGCCAGCAAATGGGGAGCACTGGTTAGATGGAGAATTTTGGGAATCAGAGAGCCTGGAAGAGGCTCCTCACTCACAGGAGGTTTCCTGAAGCCGTGCTGGGACATGGGGCAGGGGGACAGGGCGCTGCAGTCTTGGTGCCCCACTGCCACCCCCGGGACTGGGAGGGACTGGGATGAACTGGGACAAACCCGTGCAGGGGGAGGCCCCATGCCAGACCTCTCCCGTTCCCATTGTCCCTGAACCAGCCCCGGGAGCAGCCCAGCACCCCCAGCCCCCCGTGCCCCTCTGGGTGTCTGGAGGGTCCCCTCGGGGTGGGAGGTGACACAGCAGCTCCAACCCCGCCAGGCTCACCCAGGGACCACCAGGGACCTCCAGCACCTCCTTCCACCCCACCTCAGCTCCTCTGAGGAGCAGCAGCGATGCCAAAGCCACAGGACACTCCTGCCCTGCCCGGGGAACTCCGGGCCTTGCTGTGCCTTGGATTTGCACCCCTCGGTGCAAACATCCCCCAGCCCGGGTGGGTGCTGGGGTGGGATCAGCACTTTTGTACCCTCGTCCCTCCGGATGGAATTGGGGTGGACGGCAACAAAATGCAGGATGGGAAATTTCTCCTACCATGAGATGGCAATATTGTGTGTGATGAGATGTGTCTTATAAAATGTATTATCTGTTCCTGCTCTGGTTTTATATATATATAAATATATATATAAATATATAAAAAAATATATATTCCTGGTTTTCCCATAAATTAACTATTTCTAAATTGAAACTTGGATTCTCAGCCGGGGGCAATAATGCAATGAACCCTTTTTTTTTTTTTTTTTTTTTTTTTTAAATCGCTGATATTTTATGCGTAAAAGAACATAAAAAACCTACTATAATGGACCTGGATTTTGTTTACATAATTCACTGTAATAAATAATAAAAGAAAGCAATTAGTTGCATCCCACCATGGTGCTGCCCGTTCCTGTTAGCGCGGGGGGAGATGATGCCCAGAGGGAGCGGTGTCCCACATCCCAGTTATCCCAGTTATCCCAGTTATCCCAGTATCCCAACTTTCCCCCTCCGGCTGCTCTCCCACCACGGGGTGACCCCGGCGCCGGTAACGCGATTAAAGCGGCGGCTGCGTTAAACCCTCTGTCGTCAACACAAATCCCGTTCCGAGGGCTGGGAGAGCAGAAAAGACTCGGCCACGAACCGCTGCCGTGTAATGGATGGTCAGTGCATTTTTATTTAATCAGCACAGTACAAAAATAAATAAAAATAAGGGGAGGGGATTAAATTACAGGCACACTGAGCCCCATGACACAGTCGGTCGGGTTATAAACCACACATACTTACAAACACACTATACACATACATACAAAATGAGACAAATATAAATTAATAAGTAACAATACCCATCAATTTGGTCAACAAAGATCTACAGAAGAGATTGCACTAAAAAAACGTACGTACACATGTATCATTAGCAGGGTCCAATGTACAGCCATGAAGAGCTTCAAGTGAAAAATCAAAAATAAAAATAAATGGCACGTTATTTCTCCCTCTTGTTCGCCAGTTTAACGCCCGATGGACCAGAACTAAACTAGAACTGAGCACACGGAGAAAAGAAAACGATAAAACCCAAAAAGAAGGTCTCAGTCCCCAGGCCTGATACGGGAATACCAGCTCGAGACTGCGGTGTCGGGGTGGTGGCGGGTCTTTGTGCATGGGTGTAATTTTACAGCCATCTCTCGTTAAGGTTTTTCTTTTGATTATTATTTTTTTATGCGTTTTTTCCTTTTTTTTTTTTTTGTTTCCCGAAGACACAAAATGCTCCTGTTTGCATGCGCAATACCACTGGAAAAGCAACAATGACAGAAGAAAGAAGGGGTTTTTTCTCTTTCCCCCCCGCAGGTTTGCAGTTCGTTGGGTTTGTTCTAGAAGAATTCATATAGCAGCATGTGGCGGCTCCCCTTGCTTGCACACTCAAGTAGATCCTTTACACAATACTCATGACCAGTGCACGATGGGAACAAGACATTTCACATTGATCTCATGAACAGTAGCGGTGATTCCCGTCACCCGGACCCGCTCGGGAATTCGAGTCTCTTCAAAGAAAATAAATAAAGAGGGGGGGATGAGGGAGGAAGGGGGGTGGGGGGGTCCCCGGGCCGTGCCCGCGTCTCTGTCCCGGTGCTGCCGGTGAGTCCCGACCGGGCCGGTTCAGCCGCCCGCGCTGGAGCCTTTACAGGATTTTTTTTTTTCCCCCTTAATTTTCTTTTTCCCCTACCTGGGCTCTGTCTCGGTGATGCGGTGACCGGCCCCGCGGAGCCCCGCTCCGCTCCCGGGGATATCTTGGGGGGGGTTCTTGGCTCCCCATCCATGAATTGCTGGGATCAATCCGCTGGCGGAGCCGCAGCATCCCGGGCCCGCAGCGTGGGGAGGGGGCGGCGGCGCGGGAGGGAACCGGGGGTCTGCGCTCCGCTCCGGCGGCGGCTCCCGCCCGTCCTTCCCCGCCGGGAAAAGCCCCCCGGGAGCGGCGGGCGCTCACCGGTCGAGGCCGATGAGCAGCCGGCCCTTCTCCTCGGAGCCGCTCTCCTTCTTGAGGTCGGCGAAGACCTGCGTGAAGTAGTGCGGGTCGGCGTTGACCTGCAGCATCTTGGGGCTCATGAGGTCGATGATGGAGAGGCAGCGGTCCCAGAAGGCCTCCTTACAGCTCTCCACCAGGAAGGGCTTCAGCGGGTAGGAGATCTCGTTGCCCATGTAGGAGTAGGAGAGGTACAGGCAGGTGAGCAGCACTGCCTGCAGTTCGTGGTCGCTGGCCACCTCGGCCGAGATGACGTCCCGGCACAGCATGTAGAGGAAGACCACGTTGGCCGGCGTGATGAAGCCCTGGTCCTGCCAGCCCTGCAGCAGCAGCGAGCGGTCCACGGAGCGCAGCCAGAGCACGGGGTCGGTGGGCGAGAGGTGCTTCAGGCGGTAGCAGCGGCGGCACAGGAACTCGCCGAGGCAGCGCAGCAGCTCGCTGGTGGACGCCTGCACCACGACCCGGCGCGGGGTGGCGGCGGCGGCGGCGGGCGCGGCCGGGGGCGCCTTCTGCGCCGAGGCGAGGGCGGCGGCGGCGGCGGCGGGGGGCGGCGGGGGGGCGAAGGTGGCGAGGTTGGCGCAGGAGAGCGACTTCTTCAGGTTCTCGTTGTTGAGGTGGGTCACGTTGCTCTGGTAGCCGCCGTTGGGCTGCACCTTCTTGGAGCTCTTCTTCTTGGCGGAGACGGCGGCGATGCGCTTCCAGGGCAGCACCGAGATCAGCGAGTGCCGCTTCAGGCCCTTCTCCTTCGCGTTCTTGCTGTTCTGCACCGCCGTGTAGTGCCCCACCGTGGCCGCCCCCTCCTCGAACAGCGGGGCCTTCCGGTAGCTCGGCGACAGCGACAGCACCGTGCCCATGGCGCCGGCCGCCCGGCGGGCGCCCGGCGGGCCCCCGCCGCCCGCCCCGGCCCCGGCCCCGGCCCCGGCCCGGCCCGGCCCGGCCGGCCCCGCTCTCGCTGCTCCGCCGCCGCCGCCGCCGCCGCCGCTCAGCGCCGCGCCCGGACCCGCCCCGCGCCGCGCGCGCTCCCGCCGGCGCAGTGCGCGCGCCCGCCGCCCCGCCCCGCCCCGACACGTGCGCCCGCCGCGGCAGCCGAGGCCACGCCCCCTCCGCGGGCACGGCGGCATAGGCCACGCCCCCTTCTGCACAGGCCCCGCCCACACGGCAGCAGAGCCCCGCCCCCTCATTGCCTTGAATGGGTTTTGTCCCGCCCCCGGGCAGCCAGACCCCGCCCCCCAACCAATCAGGCCCCGCCCCCGCTGTTTATGAATGACGGGTGTCCCGCCCCCTCGGCCCGGCCCCGCCCCCCGCTGTTTATGAATGACGGGGCCCGGCCCCGCCCCCGGGCGCTGCCCGCTTTGGGGTCCCGGAGGTCGCGGACCCCGCGGTGCCCCGATCCCCCGGGCAGGGGCCGGGCACGACTCGGAGGGAAAAAGAATAAAAAGCAACGAAAATAATTATTTTGAAAATCCCAAAATGAAGATTTAAAGCCCTTCTCCACCGGCGCTCCGGAGCCGCAGCCCGGATTCGGAGCCGGGCCCCACAACCCGCACCGCCCCCGCAGCCCTTCGCCCCTCCGGCGGTGCCTCCGCAGCTCCGGGCCGGGGGCCGCCACTCGCCCCGAAGGTCCCGGGGCAATGAAATGCCCGAAACCGCGTTCTGAGGCCGGGCCGGGATTTGGGGAACGCGCCTGCAACTCCCGTACCCCCCGTGTCCCACGGCTCCGCTCGGAACCGCCGCCCCCGCGCAGCCCAGAGCTCCTTGGCCGGACCGGGATCCCATTGCCGCTGGGACCGGGATCCCATTGCCGCTGGGACCGGGATCCCATTGCCGCTGGGACCGGGATCGCATTGCCGCTGGGACCGGGATCCCGTTCCCGCTGGGACCGGAGCGGCGCCGGGCTCGGCGCGACCTGCAGCGACACTCGGAGGCCGCTCCGCCGCCACCGGGGCTGCCGAGAGCGGAGCCGCCCCCGGGGGGACCCTGCGGCCCGGGATCTGCTGCCGGCAGCAGCGGGGAATGCTCGGGCACATCCCGGCCCTGCACTGATAACCCAAATTCATTTCTATTCATTTATACCTATTTATGCCCTGCCCCGGACCTGCAGCTGCCAATCCCACCCCCACAGCAGGGAAATCTAAAAAAAAACCCCAAATCTCCCTGCCTGACCATCAGAACACATCCAAGCCACTGCAGAGCTGGGTTTTGGGGAGTGGTCAGGGCTCTCTGCAGGACTCTCTCCTCCCAAAACCATGGGGACAGTGACAGCCCAGCCTGGGCACTGCCGTCACGGAGAATTCCCTTTGTCCATTAAAGCATCCCCCAGATCCAAGCAGCAATCATCAGCTTTTACATTCAGCCTTATGAAGTTTAAGCCAAAAGGGTTTGTTTAAAAACAGGCTCTACAATTTGAGATGTTTTGGCCCTATTTTTAACATGCTTGGAGGTGCCTTAGAAAACCCCATTGTTCCAAAGGCAACTCCAGGGGCCGATGTGTCACTAAACCTCCCTGATCCCACACAAGGCACCAAAGCTGCTGTCACCATCCCTGCTCCAGGTCAGGTCCCCTCAGCCTCGGGCACAGGGACCTGCCAGCCTTGTCACACTGTCACCTGTGGGGTCAGGAGCGATTCTGTCCCCACTGGGGGATGACAGCTGGAGCCAGACACGATCCCCAGCAAGGACACACAGGACAGAAGCAGAAAGACTGGATGGGATATTGAGATGGAATCATAAGGGCATGATCAGGAAAGGCTGGAGGGGTGAGAAAACACATTTAATCCATTTTTCACCATAATAATAGTGCTAATAATAATTATTATTATACATTCAGTAGCACTACAACATGTTGTGCCAGGAACATGTCACAATCCTTAAATCTTTCGTGATGCCACCTGAAACATTCACATCTGGTGTCTCCAAATTATTGTCCCCAACGATGCTCTGGTGAGGGGATGACCCCACCCTTCCTTAAGCAAAGGGAGAAGCTGCACCCAGCCCAGGATCAGCTTTGGTGGCTGAAGACAGGAGACAGAGGTTTTTGAAAAAAAAATTCTTTATTGGAACTCATCTGAACATCAGATATACCTGGTGTTGGTTAGCAAGAACCGTTTGTACATTTGATATTGATGGTGCCAAAAACCCAAACAGCGACTGACTGGAGGAGATGGAAATTAAGAATAATAAAATAAAATAAAAGGTGGGAGAGGTCAAAATGTGAACGGAAAGGGGAAAAACCAGCCAGTCTAAGAGTCAGCATGAAGGCAAAATATTTCCTGATAAAACGGAATCCTTTTACAAAATATAAATTTTGTAAGAAAAATGTGGAGAGGGAAATAGAGACAGAGGGGAAAGGAAAAATAAAGATGAGCAGGACAGAGATGCAGAAGCTTACACTGCCCAAATGGCATTAAAACTTACTGGAAACCTCACCAGAAAATGGAACATGCTGGAATACACCATGCTCCGCCCCCCAGGACTTTGGGACCGAGGACGAAGCTCCCACTGGGCTGCTCCAGAGGGCCAGGCTGTCCCACCTCGGTGGGGAACCAGAGCTCAGCTGCAGCAGAGGCACAGCTGGAGTCACCCCACCGCTCACCTGCTCCTCCTGCCAGCGCAGGTGGGGAGGGAGGAAACATTTAAAATCTAAGTCTATCTGCAAACAAGAGCATGCAAGTCAGGCTCCAGGGAAACCTGCGCCGCGCCGACAGCTCCGGCCCGCAGGAAAATCATCCGGAGCTGCTTCCAGGGGCTCAGAGGCCTTGAGGATGGAAAATAAACCAGCAGTCTGTACATTTTGGGTTTGTTTGGTTCAGTACAAATGGAATCGAGTTGGCTGCTCAGACACCGCCAGCACGTCTCGGATTTCAGGGCGGAGGAGATGAAACAAACTGGTTTTGGGCACCTACTGGTAACAAAACGCTGTCCCTGCTGAACTCTGCTGTCCCTCAGGAAGTGGAAAGCACATGTTTAGGTAGTGTAAGCCTTTTTCCTTTTATTTAGAATACCCTCTTTGTTTAAACAATATTCCCCCCCCAGATACAAAGTTCGGCCAGTAAAGATTACATGGAAACTGGAACACGCATCGTCTGGAATACAAGATGCACCGGATGAGGAAGTTTAAAAACTTTCCGAGCGAAAAGTAGAACAAAGAAGAAAAAAAAAAGTCTCCTAACATTTTCCCAAAGGTTTCACTCTCCTGTCACACACACTCTCCAAATGACAGCTAGCAAATTCAACTCTGCAAAGAGAAAACAGAGCCACGTCACTCGACAGGAGAGGGAACGAGGCTGAGGGACACGGCGGGGCCGGCAGCGACTCCGGAGCTCTGCGGCCCCCAGGGAGGCCTCACTCACCTATGTCAACTTCTTGGCTTTGTTGTAGAGCGAATCCACTACTTTGCTCATGTTCTGAATCGTCTCGAGGGCAGCCTCGTAAGTTTTGTCTACGGGGGGTTCGTCGAAGATGATCAGGACACCCTCGCCCTGGTCAAGGATTCCTGTGGGCACAAGCTGCTGTTAGCACTGGGATGCTCGATGGATCACAGCTCCCAGACAGCAGGAATTCAGGGATCTACCCCAGCAACACCAATCAGCTGTGCAGGGTTTGGGAAGGGTTCCCATGTTGGGCTGGGCTGGCTGATTTTGGTCAGGACTGGCTTAGCGTTCCCAGAAAAAAATACATCTCAGAGAAGAGCCTGAGAAGCCATCCAGGAGATGAGCTTTCCTGCCCATTCCCAACCCATCTCCCTGTCTCCTCAGGCCCTGTGCCCAGCAGGATGGCTCAGCACAGCTGGTTTATCCTGCAGCTGTGCCCAGGTGCCCAGGGCTGTTCCCCCACAGCGCTCTGTGCCCAACGTGCTGCTCCCAGGAATTGCCCTGGCTCGGCCACATCCAGGGACAACAGAACCAAGAGCAGAGCAGGTTCCTTGAGGGGATTTGGGGCAGCAGCCTGCTGTGGGCCCAGCCAAGCCACAGCACCCCACTGGGCCATGGGGCGTCCCCACGGAACACTCCGGACACAAAGAGCTGGGAAAGGTGACCACAGCTCCAAGAGGGAGAGCCCAGCCTGGCCAGACAGCCCAGCTGGGGGTCCCACACTGTCCCTGGATGCTGTCACAGCAAGAGGGACCCAACAGCATTCCTGAAATTAAGCCTCAGGTTAAGGAAGGCAGCTGGAGCAGCAGGAAGAGCCTTCCTGAGTGTCCCCTCCAATGGAGCAGCAGGAACAGCATTCCTGTCACTCCTGACTGTCACCTGTGATAGAGCAGCAGGAGCAGCATTACTGACTGTCACTCCTGTCACCTGCTGCCTCAGCAGGACCCCCAGGCTCAGAGGAGGAAGGGGAGTCCAGCCACAGCTCGTGCAAACACGGGGCAGTCAGAGCTGAGGGATGCACAGACTCACCATGAAACTTCTTGTCCAAGATCATCTGTGACAATTTCCTTTCTACCTCAGCCTGAAATTGAAGCAGCAAAATTAAAAGTCTCCCAGAACACATAAAACCACATAAATTTTACTGCTGCACACTTGACAGCCTGGTGGTAACATGAGCACTGCTCAGCAGCAGCTGCTCCTCCCTGAGCGTGGCTTGGACACCACCACCTGCTGGAGATGCCTCAGGAAATGAGGCAGCAGCTGCTAATGAGGGAGCAGCAGGATGTCCCTTGTCCCACAGGTGACACTGTATCTGTCACTTCACCCAGGCTTTATCTGTGGGGGTTCTGGAACTTTCTAACTCAGTGCAGCAAGGATTTAGACAAGAGTTGGCCAAGTTTTATGTAATCCATGCAGGACCCAGCTGAGCCCCTGCCCACAGGAGGCAGCTCCTCTCTGGGCAGAGGGGGCACAGAGCAGCTCTTAGCCTGAATATTAAGGATGTGTTAAACACCATGAGCTAGTCTGGGAACAGACTGTGTGCCAGGGGAGGTTTAGGTTGGATATTAGGGAAAATTTCTTTATGGAAAGTCTTGTCCAGCCCAGGGCAGAGGTGAAATCACCGTA